TTCCAGACCAGTTTACCTGTCTGAACGTATCTCCCTCTACAAACCATCAAGGAGCTTAAGATCACTGGGGGAGGCCCTGCTCTCAGTTCTACCACACTCGCAAGCAGGCATGTAGCGGGGGGGGGGGGGGCTTGAGGGGCTTCAGCCCCCCCCCCCAAAAAAATTCTCATGGTGGTTCGCGAAAAGGCCTTACTGGTGCATTATTTAAACTGTTATGTTTATTCATATCATGATCTGATCACCATACTCAATATATCCCATATACATGGGGGTATTGGGGTAATGATACAAAAGGTTTGCTAGGGTAGACCCTCTTTCACTCAGACTCAGCCCCCCCCCCCGAAACAAACTCAGATAACAATTCAGCCCCCCCCCCCCCACCAAAATGAAATCCTGGCTACGGGCCTGCTCGCAAGAGCAACTGGTGGGGATGAGAGACAGGGTCTTCTCAGTGGTGGCTCCTCGGCTGTGGAACTCTTTCTCAAATAATATCGGATCTGTCCCCTCCCTCCTGACCTTTTGAAAAAAACTTGAAACCTGGCTTTGAGATCAAGCTTTTAAGGAACAGTTATTTGAATGAGAATGACCGATGAGACCGGCAATGGACTGATCCCAGATCATGACTTAAAATTGGCAGAATTTTAAATATTAAATTTTGAATGTTTATAACTGTTTTAACTGTTGTTTTAATTATGATTGTTTAATTGATGTTTGGCATCTGATGGCTGCCTGTTGTAAAGCTGCCCTGAGTCCTCCCTTGGGAGTGAGAAGGAAGGGGTACAAATGCTTGAAATAAATAAATAAGTAAATAAAGAAGCCTCAAACTGTGTGTTTTCATGCATGTGCTGTTTTCTCCATGAGCATCTTGTTAACTGCACATAAATGTTATTCTGTTCTTTGTAAGATAGTGCTTCTTTCTGAACTGGAAGCCAAGATAACTAAACAAAGGCTGCCATACTGTGGACATGTTATGAGATAATGTGACTCACTGGAAATTTGATAATGTTTGGCAAAGTAAGAGGTGTATGTAATGGAGGCTTTTGTGTTAGTGTAGCATTGAATCAGTGGTTCCCAAACTTTCTTTGACCAGGGACCACTCTTCAACATTAGTCCCAAAAGCGTTACAAATCAGTTTTGGGTCAACTTTAGATTCTGTTGGGTTATTTGGGGTGCTGATTCAGAAAATTGCACTGGATAGAGCACATCAGCTCTAGTTTTTGATACAGAACATATGCCATCCATTAGTCACCATCTGTTCACCAACAGAAAACCATATTTAATAAGCCTTGGCTTATTAAATATCACTCTCGTTGCAAAAGTGTAGTAACGGTGAGGCCGCAGACCATATTTTAGTTCTTGTAGACCACTGGTGGTTCACAGACCAGAGGCTAGGAACCACTGCATTAAATCAACCAACGGTTTTTGCATGAATTCAGATGGAGCTATCCAAGGTACTGAACCCTATCCACAGGATAGTTTCTGTGCCTTGGAAAACTTCTTTAATGTTTAGATTAAAACTCAGAATGGAGTCTCCAATCCACTGATATGGAAGTTGCCAGCTACCACCATCTATAACTTTAATTTAATACAGTAACTTTTAAGGTACAGGTGAATGGATTAAGGGCTAGCTTGCAGATTTTTTAAACAGAAAACAAAAATAAAAATCAGTATATTGAGAGATATTGACAAGCTGGAATGTGTCCAGAGGAGGGCGACTAAAATGATCAAGGGTCTGGAGAACAAGCCCTATGAGGAGCGGCTTAAGAGCTGGGCATGTTTAGCCTGAAGAAGAGAAGGCTGAGAGGAGATATGATAGCCATGTATAAATATGTGAGAGGAAGCCACAGGGAGGAGGGAGCAAGCTTGTTTTCTGCTTCCTGGAGACTAGGACGCGGAACAATGGCTTCAAACTACAAGAGAGGAGATTCCATCTGAACATGAGGAAGAACTTCCTGACTGTAGAGCCGTTCAGCAGTGGAACTCTCTGCCCCGGAGTGTGGTGGAGGCTCCTTCTTCGGAAGCTTTTAAACAGAGGCTGGATGGCCATCTGTCAGGGGTGATTTGAATGCAATATTCCTGCTTCTTGGCAGAATGGGGTTGGACTGGATGGCCCATGAGGTCTCTTCCAACTCTTTGATTCTATGATTCTATGATTCTATGATATGTTACGCATTGTCAGAACATAGAGACAAACAATAACAGGATTTAAGGAAAAGGCAGCAAATGGAGTGTTTTATTAAGCTTTAGTTCTAAAAAGGGCACTCATTTCTTGCTGCCCCATATTTCCTCCAAACATTCATCCAAAAATAAGTCATGCCAGACCAATGATATCTCTGTCTTTTTTATATAGAGGTACATGCTTTGGTAAATGACGGGAATGCTGTAGGTGAAGAAAATCTTTATTTCAATAAGGCTTTTTGACAAGATTCACCATATTCTTGAAGGCAAGCTAGTAAACTCTGAGCTGTTCATTGCCAACATTTTTTGGTATTTTTTTAAAAAATGGAAAACAAACCTATCAGAAAGACTGCTTGCCTACCTTTGTGACCGCATTTCCTACCACAAACATATACGATCTCTTCAATCTTCTGGAGAGGCCCTCCTTTCGCCCCTTCCACTATCACAAGCTCAACTTGTGGGTACAAGGGAGAGGGCCTTCTCCGTTGTGGCCCCCTGCCTTTGGAACTCGTTACCTGGGGAGATCAGGCAAACACTAACCTAGCAGCCTTTAAGAAGTCTTTAAAAACTTGGCTCTTCCGATGTGCCTTCGGAGAGTGACCCTCAACCCATTTGTCTATTTCCATCTACAGTTAATGTTAAGCTTTTAACATTAAATCTCATATATCTGGCCCACCCTCTGTGTTTGATTTTATTATGTGATTTTATATTGTTTATTTTATTTGTTATTTTTTATATTTTGTTATTATGTATTTTTCTGTTATTTTGTGTCTAATTATGTTGTATTATTTTGGGCTTGGCCTCATGTTAGCCACACCAAGTCCCCTTTGGGGAGATGGAGGCAGGTTATAAATAAAGATGATGATGATGATGATGATGATGATGATTATTATTATTATCATTATATTGCCAGGAGTTTCTCTTCATCCTGGTTGTAGTGACCTATAGGGTGTCTAAGAATTTTGGCCTGGGCCTGATGTGGGTACAGGATCTTTATAAATGACTTGGAGATTAGAACAGAAGTCGTGCTCCTCAATATTTAAGATTGCAACTTAGGATAGAGTAACTAATATCTTAAGAGGACAAAATCTGAATTTAAAAGGTTAGAGAGCTGGGGCAAAGCTAAAAAAATGAATTTCAACAGGGAAAATAGAATGTTTTACAATTCAGAAGGAAATGCACAGAAACATGACAAAAATACTGGTTTGTCAACAGTATTTTTGAAAAAGATCTATGGGTCTTAGACACAGCCATGTATCAACAGCAGGATGCAGTTGTCAAAAAAGCTAATTCTAAGCTGCATCAATAGCAGCACAGTATCAGTATCAAGGCAAGTCACGATACCATTCCTATTCTAGTTTGATCAGATATCACATAAAATATTATGTCCCCATTTGGGCACCATAGGAAATTGACAAGTTACAACATGAGTGCCATTTTGGAAGGAAATTGACAAGTTACAACATGAGTGCCATTTTGAATGACATCTCAGATAGAATGTAGGCCTGTGACCCTAAGATCATCAGCATTTCTCCTATATGATTCTTAACATCTCTCAGGAGTCCCTTCGCTGTGGATTCCTGAATGGCAAGCAATTGGACTAGAAGACCTTGAGGTCCCTTCCAACCCGACTTTTCTATGAGCCATAAACAAAAGGGCTCACCCTTTTCCATGCTGATTTCATTCAGTAGGAATGCTTGTGTCTATTACATGCTCCTCTTGGTCACATTTTGGGGACTTAGTCTGTAACATAATCCTGCAGCTGTATTTCCCCATACAGGTACATTTGAATCACACCCATCTGTGTTCTTGCCCTTTAGGGTTAGGTTAGGTCAGATGTTCTGTGTGCTCGCATTACAGCAGGGGAACAGTCTCAAGAGCAATAAAATAATACATAACTTAATGATTTAAATTAATAGTTACAACTTAGTCACTTAAATATATACCACACAGAATATTAAAGTGTATATAGGCATAAACATACTTGCACATCATTAACATTGTGCAAAATGAGATGGTTATGGGGTACGTAGAGCAAAAGTTGCTCATTTCCAGCCATATTACTGACATAAAGCTATTCCACATAATACCTTGAGCTTTCAATATCTGCTTGGGTTTGGTACCAAGATACCCAAAGAGGTAGTTTTGGACATCACTTTGACATATCTATTTCAAATCCTCAGTATTGGCTTTGAGAGCCCCCAGTGGGGCAATGGGTTAAACCCTTGTGCCAACAGGACTGAAGACTGACAGGTCAGAGGTTCGAATCCAGAGAGAGCACAGATGAGCTCCCTCTGTCAGCTCTAGCTCTCCATGCAGGGACATGAGAGAAGCCTCCCACAAGGATGGTAAACATAAAAACATCTGGGTGTTCCTTGGGCAAAGTCCTTGCAGATGACTAATTCTTTCACACCAGAAGCGCTTAAGTCACTCCTGACATGAAAAAAGCATCAGCTTTGTCTAATGCTTTCATGGCCGGAATCACTGGGATGTTGTAGGTTTTTTCGGGCTATATGACCATGTTCTAGAGGCATTCTCTCCTGATGTTTCATCTGCATCTATGACAAGCATCCCCTGAGGATGATTGCCATAGATCAGTGGTTCTCATCCTGGGGTCCCTAGATGTTTTTGGCCTTCAACTCCCAGAAATCTGGTAAACTGGCTGGGATTTCTGGGAGTTGTAGTCCAAAAACATCTGGGGACCCCAGGCTGAGAACCACTGCCATAGATGCAGGCGAAATGTCAGGAGAGAATGCCTCTAAAACATGGCCATATAGCCTGAAAAAACCTACAACAACCCAGCATCAGCTCTGTTATAAAATCAGAATTTACTTTGTTCTTTTCATACCACATATACCCATGACAATCCAAATCTTAAATCTAAGTACTCCAACTGTAGCAATGCTTTGCTATCTAGATTGTAACTTCCTTTCAATCTTCCTAAACTGCAACCAGCATAGTAAAGTTGAAAATCCAGTAAACAAAAACCTCCACGTTTCTTATCCTGTTGTAATAATTTAAATCTCATTCCTTGTTTTTTTCCACCTTTGCCAGAAAGAGTGAACTTTATCATTTTACTATTGTTTAAATTACACATTTTTTGTCAGTCTGATTCTGGAGGGATCCTGAAAAGAAACCTACAATTTCGCCATTCTTTGGCTGAAATCTGCAGGGCCACCATACCAGTTACAGAAAGCGGATTTGTCTATTTTATCCTCCCTCTCCATTGAGATAATTTGGCCCTCGGTGTTGCTCCCACTGCCAAGCCTTTTGGAAATTATCTGCAACAATCATTGTGGCCTCTTCTGTATTTGCCTGAAATTTAAACATTGTTCCATTGGAATTGAAGGCGAGTTCTAATATTACCATCTTGCAGGTCAGCAGCAAAATGGCTGAAACACACACAAAAGAAATAGGAGTTGAAAATGGCAGAGAATTTACCCCTAAAATCAATAAGTTAGCATATGGCTTCTCTTCATTGCACAACCAACAAGTTGTTTTTTTGGTATTCAGCTGAAGTTCTGTAATATCAGTCCAAAACTTTCCTGGATTTTGCCCAGGGGAAAGCTTACAAATCTACATAGACAGCGTCTGTGTCCACTCTGTGAGCTTTTCCAAAGATGAGGAAAGTGCAGAGTCCAACGGCATTCACTGTTGCCACGAGATTGAAAACAGACACCCAGGAGCCAGTGCTTTCAATCAAATGTCCAGCCAAGTATACACAAACCACACCTGCATGAAGACAGAAAGGAAATGGGTTGGCATTTTTTTTCAAAAAAAAAGTCAGCATAAAACCAGCCATTTCATTCTCTTCTGTTAAAACCAAACATAAATAACTTTCAATGTATCCAAATTATAACTTTTTATCATATTCACTGATTTATTTGATGTGTATCCTATCTTCCTCCTAGGATTGGTATGCAAATGAATTACAATTAGTCCTCCACATTTATTGGCATTAGGGGTACAGAACTCTCAAAAAAAACTTTTACGTGAAAGCATATCTCTCTCAGAATTTACAGGACCTTCAAAATGATCCTATGGCCAACTTCTGGCATCATAATTGAGGACCTAGAGATGTTTATAGAGGTGCTTTCTCTAGGAATGTTTGGGTCCTGCAGCATGAATCTACAATCAACTTCTGGAGCAGTGGTTCTCAACCTGTGAGTCCTCAGGTGTTTTGGCCAACAACTCCCAGAAATCCCAGCCAGTTTGCCAGTCATTAGGATTTCTGGGAGTTGAAAGCCAAAACATCTGGTGACCCACAAGTTGAAACCACTGCTCTAGAGGAAGCTGACCACACAATTGCACTGGAGAACCTGGGAACATTTTAATCAAATCCTCCCATAATCAAATGCACAAAAGTCAAATCTACAAATGAGGAGAGCTGGCTGTAATTAATTTATTACAATTAATTAATTTTAAAAGTTCCAATAAATACATTATGGCTAGCATTCTGTTAATGATACATGAAGGATGAGCTCACCTTATGCCTGTGTCTGATAACAACCAAAGCAACTTCCCGAACTTACAACTGAACCTATGCAGCTCCTCTTATGACTAGTCCATGGTTAAGAGAATTAGGAAAACATCCCTGATATTCATATGCCCCCTTGTGTGGTCTTCAAGTCCTTTCTGACTTGTAGCAACCTAAGGTGAACCAATCATGGGATTTTCTCAGCAGGGTTTTTTCAGAAGAGGTTCACCATCATCTTCCACTGAGGCTAAGTTTCACCTAGGTAGTTCCATGTCAGAGGGGTACAAATTACATTTCTGTAGATTTCCAGAGCTGTAGCACTACATTTCTGTCCAAGAGAGTGTCATCTCATTGTACCTTTCTCCTAGATGTCACATGGATTTCCCTCTCACACAGACACCTATTTCAATTGTTCACATGAGCACAAGAATCAGGATTACTTTGGGAAGGGAATACACGAGGAACACATTGTGTATAAAATAAGGCAATAACTTACCCAATAAAGCTCCACCAGTATTAGCCACACCTGCCAAGAGACAGAAGGGAATCAAAGCATGGCAATAAATAATGGTTGTTGTATGACTTCAGGTCATTTCTGACTTCTAGCACCCATGAGAAGAACCTACCAGAAGGATTTCAGATTGTCCTTCCTCTGAGGCTAAAAGAATATGTGACTCACTTAAGGTCACACAGTGGGCTTCCATGGCAAAGTGGGCATTCAAAACTTGGTCTCCAGAGTTGTAGTTCAACACTCAACCACTATACCATACTAGATTTTTATCCCATGCATCTTCTGTTTCCTGCTGCCTTTGTTTCTTATATGTTTGTTTACTACCTTTCTTTTTCCCCCTTTGTTTAAAAACCTATGCCATGTCTTTTCAAACCACCATTCTTTAGCAAAGCTTTACCGACACTGGTATAGCCTATATTTATCTCAGACCTGGGAATTCTGTAGTTCTTCAAGAGTTGTTTCATGCTAAATCCCAAAATTTCTCACTTCTAATTAAATTGGGTAGAGTTGATGGGACTCGCAGTACAACATTATCTAGAAAACGTGACTTCATGTAACAGGATGCAATGTTTAATATTCCCTACCACATCCACAAACACTAAATACAAAAGATGGAAACAACTAATCCTTACCAAACAATAGACCAGCACACGAAGGAGCCAGATCCTGTATATTGACTGAGATGCCACTATTTGGGGGGGGGGGGGGGGGGGGAGAGAGAGAGAGAGAGAGAGAGAAAAGGGTCATGAATTAATCCAAGCACAGGTAAAGAATTTGATTAATCAGACAGACACTCTATTTGAGAAGAACTGCAAGACTTGAAGACATTTCCTTAACTGAAGCCCATCCAACCAAACACACTAGTTCATCCGTGTCCCACCTAAAATCATAACATTACCTGTGATTGAAGGTCTGAAATCCAATGCAGGCGGATGCAAACACCACTGCTTGGCAAAAACTGGATGTGTAACCAATGCCCAAGGCAAATATGCCGGATATTCCTAACCCAACAATCTCAAAGAAGAAGAAAACCAAAATATTAGGTATGTTGACAACAAGTATAACGTAGTGGCCTTTATCTTTATAGAGCTTCTCAATGGACCTGTGAAGTCACTATTTCCATATTATGAAGGAGAATAAAACTTCCCTAAACCAATCCCATGAATGTTTATTTGGAAATAAGTGCTATCATGTTCAGTAGACAGAATCAAAGGAAGATTATCACAACAACATACAAAGTTGTCCTACTACTCTCAATTTTAATCTCATAACAACTCTGCAAGGTAGATTGCAAAGAGAAATCAAAGGCAAATCTTAGGCCAGGCAGTGGATTTTGCATTTGAATGGAGATTTCAACTCATGTCCATCAGATTCATTGTCTCCTGAACCACCTTGAGTCTCACACAAATGAATATAATTTTGTAAGTTCCTCTCACTGTCACCAACTGGAATGATTCAGTTTTTTCTTACCTGCATAAACTTGCGAATGGTGATTGGTTTATATCCTGAAAGTGAATAGAGAGAAAGAGAAGAAAGAAATTAAATTGACACCCAAGGAGCCTAAATACCCTAAAGGCATCAGATCCTGTCTGATCATGAAAGCTAAGCAAGGTCAGACATGGTTGGTACTTGGATGGGGGACCACCAATGATAATCATGTGCTGTAGGCTACTTTTCAGAGGAAGGAACTGGCAAACTCACCTCTGAATATTCTTTGAATAAAGCCTTTGAAATTCATGAGGTTGCCATTAGTCAACAGGCAACTTGAAGGCTTTTGCCAGTTCCTTTCTCTGAAATATAGTCCAAAGCATCCGGTATTTGTTGATAATCTCTCATCCAAATATGTATTAACGAGGACTTTTTTTTTGTTGTCGTGTCAGGAGAGACTTGAGAAACTGCAAGTCACTTCTGGTGTGAGAGAATTGGCCGTCTGCAAGGACGTTGCTCAGGGGACGCCCGGATGATTTGATGTTTTTATCATCCTTATGGGAGGCTTCTCTCATGTCCCCGCATGAGGAGCTGGAGCTGATAGAGGGAGCTCATCCGCCTCTCCCCAGATTCGAACCTGTGACCTGTCGGTCTTCAGTCCTGCAAGCACAGGGGTTTAATCCACTGCGCCACCGGGGGCTCCAATGAGGGCTGATCCTGCTTGACTTCCAAGATAAGATAGGATCTAGTGCCTATGGGGTTTATTTAGGCCCTAACCTGGTACACTAGAAAACCATACATCTCAGTCTCCTACAACTGATAGCCTTAGAAGCATTAGCTTAGAGCCCCTGATAGTTCGTGGTAGTCCACCATCCAAATGCTAACAAAGGACCTAAAGAATGAAATGAGATTTTACCTTGATTGATACACTGGTCAGAAAGAAATCCACTGAACAAGCTTGTTGGAATCGCCACAAGCCATGGAACGACATTAAATATCCAGCCCTGGAAGAAGTCAAGAACAACATAGATAGGCAAATAGCTACAGCACTAACAGAGGTCCTGGCATGATGGGGTGAAGGATATGGCTCAGCACAACAGAAGTTCAAAGGCAATGGTGATTGGTGGGCTCTATATCAGTGGGCTGCTGGATTCTCCTTAAGTTCTAATTCTATCCAAGATGCTCAATCTATTTTGGACAACTCTGGTAAAATTTTAAGTGGATGTACCACTCCACTGACCCAGAAGTCATAAGCTACAGGTTGGGTTTATCTTATCCAAAATGTTTTGAACCAAAAGTATTTGGATATTAGGTTTTTTAAGATTTTGGAATATTTGCATACGTATTATGAGATGCAATCTAAGTCTAAACATGGAATTCATATATCTTTCACATACAACATATACAGGTAGTCCCTGAGTTACAAACATCTGACTTACGAATGATTCATAGTTAAAAACAGGGGTGAGACAACAGGAAGTGAGTGGGCCGGGCTTTAGAAAAGCTAATTAATCACCTGCAGCAATATGTCTTACCAATCAAAAGGTTGGCAGCTCGAAGCCTGGGTCAGAGTGAGCACCCGACCTTCAGCCTAACTTACTGTCCACCTAAGCAATTCGAAAACAGCTGTGAGTAGAGAAATTAGGCACCACTTTAGCGGGGAGGTATTTTACGGCACCATAAAACAAATACCAGAAAATGCCAGAGATCAAAGGAAGGAGGAAGTCTGTGATCAAGGATCTTCATCATAGAAGAAGGAGCAACAGCACCCCCTGTGGCCAGAATTGAGCACAACCTCCAGACACTGAAGTTGGGGGGAAATGCTGACATAATACCTCTATCTGTTGTCTGTCCTGCCTGTTTAACGGCATTGAATGTTTGCTGTTTATGTGTGATCTGTAAAACACCCTGAGTCTCCTTTAGGGTGAGAAGGGTGGAATATAAATGCTGTAAATAAAAAAATGAGATAATCCACCCCTCCTGAAAGAGTTCTCATGGGGAAAAGGTGTCTCCACTGGAGCTATCACCAATCCTTGTTTCCACAACAATCCAATTGTTTCAAAATCCAATGATAACACAGACAGAAAGTGAGGTGAAATCTTCTGAATAGGGGCACAGACAACAAAACAAATGTCACAGGAGTGGGAACCCCTCCCTTTGGATGTCCAAAGAACTTCTAACTGTGCTAAGACACAAAAGAGACATGCACAAGAAGTGGAAAAAGGGAGAAATCACCAAAGAAGAATTCAAACAAATAGCCAACACCTGTAGGGAAAAGGTCCGCAAGGCTAAAGCACAAAACGAGCTCAGACTTGCCAGGGACATTAAAAACAATAAAAAGGGCTTCTATTCTTATGTCAGTAGAAAAAGGAAAAACAAGGAGGCGATAGGACCTCTTCGAGGAGAAGATGGGGCAATGCTGACAGGGGATAGGGAAAAGGCAGAACTACTTAATGCCTTCTTTGCCTCGGTCTTCTCACAAAAAGAGAGTCTTCAACCTCAGCAAGATGGAGCGGATGAGGGATTGGAGGACATCCAACCCCAAATTGGGAAAGAAGTCGTCCAGGAATACCTGGCCGCTCTTAATGAGTTCAAGTCCCCAGGGCCAGATCAACTACACCCCAGAGTATTGAAGGAACTAGCGGAAGTCATGTCGGAACCATTGGCAACCATCTTTGAGAGTTCTTGGAGAACGGGAGAAGTTCCAGCAGATTGGAGGAGGGCCAATGTGGTCCCAATCTTCAAGAAGGGAAAAAAGGATGACCCAAACAACTACCGTCCGGTCAGCCTCACGTCGACACCGGGCAAGATTCTGGAAAAGATTGTTAAGGAAGCGGTCTGCAAACACTTAGAAACAAATGCAGTCATCGCTAATAGTCAACATGGATTTATCAAAAACAAGTCATGCCAGACTAATCTGATCTCTTTTTTCGATAGAGCTACAAGCTGGGTAGATGCAGGGAATGCCGTGGATGTAGCGTACCTGGATTTCAGTTTGCCAGAAGGTCCCCCATGACCTTCTGGCAAACAAACTAGTCCAATGTGGGCTAGGCAAAACTACAGTGAGGTGGATCTGTAATTGGTTAAGTGGACGAACACAGAGAGTGCTCACTAATGCTTCCTCTTCATCTTGGAAAGAAGTGACAAGTGGAGTGCCGCAGGGTTCCGTCCTGGGCCCAGTCCTGTTCAACATCTTTATTAATGACTTAGATGAAGGGCTAGAAGGCATGATCATCAAGTTTGCAGACAACACCAAATTGGGAGGGATAGCCAATACTCCAGAGGACAGGAGCAGATTCAAAACGATCTTGACAGATTAGAGAGATGGGCCAAAACTAACAAAATGAAGTTCAACAGTGACAAATGCAAGATACTCCACTTTGGCAGAAAAAAATGAAATGCAAAGATACAGAATGGGTGACGCCTGGCTCGAGAGCAGTACGTATGAAAAAGATCTTGGAGTCCTCGTGGACAACAAGTTAAACATGAGCCAACAATGTGATGTGGCGGCAAAAAAAGCCAATGGGATTTTGGCCTGCATCAATAGGAGCATAGTGTCTAGATCTAAGGGAAGTAATGCTACCCCTCTATTCTGCTTTGGTTAGACCACATCTGGAATATTGTGTCCAATTCTGGGCACCACAATTCAAGAGAGATATTGACAAGCTGGAATGTGTCCAGAGGAGGGCGACTAAAATGATCAAGGGTCTGGAGAACAAGCCCTATGAGGAGAGGCTTAGGGAACTGGGCATGTTTAGCCTGAAGAAGAGAAGGCTGAGAGGAGATATGATAGCCATGTATAAATATGTGAGAGGAAGCCACAGGGAGGAGGGAGCAAGCTTGTTTTCTGCTTCCCTGAGACTAGGACGCGGAACAATGGCTTCAAACTACAAGAAAGGAGATTCCATCTGAACATGAGGAAGAACTTCCTGACTGTGAGAGACGTTCAGCAGTGGAACTCTCTGCCCCGGAGTGTGGTGGAGGCTCCTTCTTTGGAAGCTTTTAAGCAGAGGCTGGATGGCCATCTGTCAGGGGTGATTTGAATGCAATATTCCTGCTTCTTGGCAGGGGGTTGGACTGGATGGGCCAAGAGGTCTCTTCCAACTCTTTGATTCTATGATTCTATGATTCTATCCAAAACTAACAAATACTTATAATTGGCTGGAGTAACACTTTAAAAATGAACCTGTTCTGACTTTCATACAAATTCAACTTAAGAACAAACTTATACAACCTATCTTGTTTGTAACTTGGGGACTGCCTGTAAATATATAGCCTGAAGTTAATTTTAATGCAACTTTGTGCCTCAAACAACGTTTGTGTACATTGCACCATTAGAAAGCAAAAATGTCAATCTCTCAGCCCCACATGTCCTCAATTTTGGATTTCAGAGGAAGATACTGCAGTGAAACAACCATTGATAAGATAGAAACAGTTTCATTTGCAACATGCAAGCTTGGTCGGTAGGTGGTGCAATTTTATCACGTTTAGTATCTCATCCAAGGATTTAATCATGCAGCTGCTTCATACAAAGTTCCCCCATATGATATTAGGGACTTCTTTTTCCTTGACTTTGACTCTTATGCATATGCTCAGTGCTACTCCTGGCACAGGACACCAGGAGAAGGTACTTGCATGGTTCTACATCAGCAGCACCAAGTCTAATACAGCCACAAGCACGACGTTGATAATACATTTTAAAAACCCTGTTGTAGTTAAATAATTCAAAAACAAAAAAGATGAAAAACACCTCTGCCCGAATTAGCAGAAGAAAGCCTAATTTAACCACAGCTAGTCTTATATATTATTTAAGATTTAGATTGTAGGAGTCCCACGAACGTGGGGAAAATGCAAATGAAAACTCTATTTTTTTCTAACACCTCTCTAGAAATCTCTAGGACTTGCTGTACAATCTAAAAATGGCTAGAGAAGTGTACACCTTAGGAATTTCTAGGTCCTCCAGCACAATTCTGTGGTCAACTTCCAGCAACTCCAAAGACAGGAGGCTGGATGAGGGCAGTACTGGAACAACAGACTGGGGGCCTGTCCAGACAGTGCCCTTATTGTGGTATCTACCGGATACCACAATAATTCCAGACATTCTCTCAGGCTAGTCTCAAGAGAACTTCTGGATACCCACCAGAAAGGAGGGGCTGTCCAGACAACATTCTGGACAGTCCCAAATTAATTCGCTACAAACCAGGAAAACCCTGGTTTGAAGCAAATTAATTAGATAGTGGGTTTATTCCATGCCTTCTTGGAAGGCGTATGATAAAACCACTATTTTCAGTTCTGGACTGCAGAATACTGCAGTCTAGACAGTATTCCTACAGTTTACCAGGGTAAACTGTGGGAATAGCCACCCCCCTTCCCACAAGCCCCCAGACTCCTTAGAAAAGTAATGAAAACTTACCCGACCTTGATTACATGCTTCAGCCAGCTCTCCCAGCACGTAGAAATGACACAGAAGGAGTGGGGGGGGGGGAGCTGGCCGAAGCATGTAATGGAGACTGGGTAAGTTTTCATTGGTTTTCTAAGGGGCATGGAGGCATGGGGGGAGTGGAGAGGACCTCCAGACATTCTTCTGGGCTAGTCCCAAGAGAACTTCTGGATACCCACCAGTAAGCGTATGCTTTCTGAGGTGGGTGTGGACAGACCCCCAGGAAAATCCATGTTTTTAAAACATGGATTCTCCTGGGATAAAGGCCTGTCTGGATCTGCCCTAGAACCTGCAACAGAAGTATAGGCTGGATATTCAGGTTGCCTTTTGGCAATCCACCCCAAAACAGGAAACTTAAACCTATGCTTTGCAGGCCAGTTAGAAAGAGAGAGAAAACCCTCTATAATGGTCTTGAGCTTCTCTTCTTGGACATAATTCTATCTTACTTTTGAGTCAGGAAAGGTTTCTGTGAAGAACGTGGGAAGCCAGGAGAGGAGCGTGAAGAAGGTGCTAGCCGCACACAGCTGGGACACAATCACTGCCCTGTAGGGAGACATGGGAGGAAAGGCCACATGAGAGCCTGACGATTCTTTAATGAAAAATTGCCTGGATTTAAAAGGAAGCAAACTGAGCAATTTACACATGAATGAAAACAGGTACACAAGCAGTCCCTGAGTTACAACCATCCAACTTACATCCATTTCCCAGTTACAAATAGAGGAGAGACAACAGGAAGTGAGAGGAAATCTACCCCTAGATAGGGAAATTTACTCTGAAAGAGCTATCATGGGGGAAAGGTGTCTCCACTGAAGGTTCATCACTAATCTTTTTTCCCATGACAAAATTGGCTGGAGTTACACTTTAAAAATGTACCTGTTCCAACTTCCATACAAATTCAATTTCAGAAAAAACCTACAGAACCTATCATGTTTGTACTCTAATAAGGATGGAAATAAGATTGGTAAATTTTATGTCAGTGAGAAAGAGTGTCTCAAAAAATGAAGACACTCTGTCCCATCCAAAATGAGATATTTGTTTCATCCTACGCAAATATAAGGAGACTTGTGCCATCAATCAATAGCAAAAGGTTGCATTTTGCCCCTAAAATTACATTTTGCAATATTGATTGATTATCCCGTAACCATAAATGCTTAAGACCAGCTATATTTGGGTTTATTTCAAATTTTGGAATGCCTTTATTTGCATATATATATATAATGAGATATCTTGGAAATGAGACCCAAGTCCAAACACATAATTTACTGATGTTTCATATACATTTTCTACAGATAGCTTGAAGGTAGTTGTATACACAACAATGCTGTGCATGAAACCATGTGTATACATAGAAGCATCAGAACACAATGGTGTCACTATCTCAGCTACCTATGGGGACAATTACGTATTTGGGAGTATTTTGATAAAGAATGCTCAACATTTAGTTTTATTTTGTGCAGAAAAAGAATTGTATTTTCATCCAAACCATGCTTTTAGCAAATGAGAAAAACCTTGGAATTTTTTTGTTACAGATGTATCAAGATTCAAAAAGAAATGTGCAAAAATTCATATAAATTCATCCATTGGGAAGTAAAATTTTGTTCATTGTTCATTCTCAGGATGGAAATGGAATAAACAACACCCCAACTCTGTTCATATATTTTCCTGAACATATGCATTTCCTCCAGGAGCAAAGTGGGGGGAAACAACCTGCTTGGCATTCATCTTTTAACTTCTTTAAGGTCCATATAACAAGGGAACGATACTCATATAACTGTGTGCACATGGGCTCTTATGCCCGGTGAGTAAATAGGAGTAACTTACCATACTGGGGCCTTTTTAAATATTTGTTTCCAAGGCACTTTGGTCTGTTTGGATAAGGAGAGGCCTTTCACTAGGTCTTCTAAAGGGATGATGATTTCTACACAAGATAAATGACACACATCTAAATTCATGATTACATACAGTTGCTGGGTGTATTTTTTACATTTATGATCCAAATATGCTTTCACGCTCAATTCAAGGTGCTGGTATTGAACATGGGTGAGAATATCTGACAGACTTCCTCTTGAGTTGCTGTGAGTTTTTTGGGCTATATGACCATGTCCCAGTAGCATTCTCTCCTGATGTTTCACCTGCATCTGTGGCAAGCATCATCAGAGGTTTGTTCAATGGTCTGTTGGAAATGAGGCAAGTATATTTATCAGTGGAATGTCTGTGAAATATCTCTGGAATGGGAAGGCTGTCTCTACTCATATGAGGCTGCCAGAAATTGGAGGTCTTCAGAGGAGGACCTGTTGTATGTCCAAAACATCATCACCACCACCATCATTTCATTTCTTACCCACCTTTCCTCATGGCTCAAAGTTAGGTTGGTTGGTACACATAACAGGGCTTTTTTCTGTAGCAGCCAAGAAACTTAAGTGGCCCCATCTCTTTTAAGTTGCCAATGGGCAGCCCAAAAAGTGCTGTTTTGCATATCCTTTAATGCTTGAAACTGCTCTATTTCAGCTGTTGCAAAGCTGCATTTCAGGACTGTTTTAGAAAGTTTTATAAGATTTTAAACCAGCATTTTAATGGGCTTTTTAAATGTTTCTATCTTTGTACTTTTAAATTTCATTTTCAATTTATATACACACAATAAAATCCTTAGATAATCAACAAGCATCTCTACATTAAAATAATTTTCTGATTTCTACAGAAAAAGTACATATGACACCTAATACAATGTAACATTCAAAATATAATTACACTGACATGACATTAATGTTAAACTAAACATATTGGTGTTGGAGGAAAGTTCTGAGAGTGCCTAGGATCGTGAGAAGATCCAACCAGTCCATACTTCAGGAAATAAAGCCCAAATGCTTATTGGAGGGAAGGATAGTAAAGGCAAAGATTAAGTACATTGTCCACATCATGAGAAGACAGGAAAGCTTAGAGAAGAGAATGATGGTGGGGAAAATGGAGGGAAAAAGGAAGAGGGGCCGACCAAGGGAAAGATGGATGGATGGGATCCTTGAAGTGACTGGATTGGCCTTGAAGGAGCTGGGGGTGGTGACAGCCGACAGGGAGCTCTGGCGTGGGCTGGTCCATGAGGTCACAAAGAGTTGGAAATGACTGAACAAATGAACAACAACAAACATATTGGATTTCCATCATGTGGATTGGTTTCCCCCTCATTGGCATCTATTGATTATTTGATTTGTATTCCTTATACTCTCTACTTCAATGCATGCTTTAAATACACACATACATATATAATTATTCCTTTTGATACTACTTTAATTGTTTTTATGTGTTGATCACCTCAGACGCCCTTGTGGGCTGGGAGGTGATAGAAAAATACATTGGTAAAATTACTCACTTCTTCCTTTAGGAAAAATCTTAATGAAAAATTGTATCCATATTCCTTTATTGAGAGGTGCAGACTTATAAGTTTTTTGGGGGGCCAGTATAGCCTTTAAAGTTGCCTATCTGTGCTATATGTGGAACTAGCTATTTTGTTTATGACCATTCCTTTCTCCAAATTGTGCTAGTGATTTCAACTCAAACCAATAGTATGCAAAGTTGATGTGATACATTGACACACTCACACATGATGGACAAAAATTCACATTTCCGGTTACTGGCCAGTGCCAACCAGAGCAAGCAAATGTTAGAAGGGTGAGGCTGCAGTTGTAAGAAAGACATATTTACCTTTCTCATTCAACAGGTATTTGCACATGCAGTATACCCAGAGCAAGGTTAGCAATCCTGAAAAGTAGAAGACCGTTTCCCATCCATACCAGTCAAGAAGGAGAGAACCTGCAGCACCCATCACCAGAGTCCTGAAAGGGGAAGGAGAGTTAAAATGATGCATTTGCTTCCCATTCTCTCATCTAACAAAGTAGTTGAAATACAGGAGGAAATTAAACTGGGCAGATTACTCAATGGGTTGTGGTAGGTTTTTTGGGCTTTATGGCCATGTTCTAGAAGCATTCTCTCCTGACATTTTGCCTGCATCTATGGCAGGCATCCTCAGAGGTTTTGATGGAGTACTTCCTCATTCTTTTGCACACTGCTGGAGATTTTTATGGTGTCATAAATTAGTAAAATTAGCCTCCCTGCATAAGCGGTACCTACATTTCCTATTTGACAGATGCAACTGTCTTTCAGGCTGTTAAGGTTGACAGCTAGCTAGACAGATGGTCAGGAGCTTACTCCGACCCAGGCTGGCTTCGAACTCATGACCTTTTGGTCAGTAGTTATTTTAATGCAGCTGACTTCTAACTAGCTGCGCCACAACCCAGTTCCTATAAAAACATGGCTCTCGAGCAGTTAAGGTAAAATAATCATCATCAGCATAATCAGACAAAACAAAAAGAATGAAGACTAGTCATCCTCCCCTCCAAAGGCCAGTGTGCAAAAGTATGTTTTTAATTGCTTATTGAAGGAGAGAAGTGAGGAAGCTGTTCTAATTTCCCTAGATCCTTTTCACATGTACTATTTTCAAGCCAAGTGCCAGTCAGCCTATATTTGTGCACTTCATTTTCCTGCCTTAGTGCTACATTGATAATTTTCTTAGTTTAGAAAGTTCATTTTCTGAGTTGAGAATGAGGTTAGCTTCCTTGCTTGTTTAATGTAAACTGAGAGTGATCAAACACTGCAGACCCTGCCAACCCCCCATGATGGATTGCCAAACTGTGCTGCACAATGCTATTTCAGCAGCAAAAAGGGGCTTTCTTAGAATACAGAGAAAGCTGCAGTCACTGATATCTGGTGGGTTTCATATTGCCTGGGTTTCTCAATGTGCAGTCTACATTGGCCTGAACTTTAAAGGAGCTCTCCAAGGTACTGAACCTATTTTGGAGATTGGCTAGCACATTTCTGCAGGTTTTGCTCTGATCTTCAAAGGATGTAATACATGTACTGAACCCTAGTTTCAAAATTAGTTCAGGATTTCTGAATCATAGAATCAAAGAGTTGGAAGAGACCTTATAGGCCATCCAGTCCAGCCCCCTGCCAAGAAGCAGGAATATTGCATTCAAAGCACCCCAACAGATGGCCATCCAGTTTCTGTTTAAAAGCTTCCAAAGAAGGAGCCTCCACCACACAGAGAGTTCCACAGCTGAACAGCTCTCACGGTCAGGAAGTTTTTCCTTATGTTTAGATGGAATCTCCTTTCTTGTAGTTTGAAGCCATTGTTCCGCGTCCTAGTCTCCAGGGAAGCAGAAAACAAGCTTGCTCCCTCCTCCCTGTGACTTCCTCTCACATATTTATACATGGCTATAATATCTCCTCTCAGCCTTCTCTTCTTCAGGCTAAACATGCCCAGCTCCTTAAGCCGCTCCTCATAGGGCTTGTTCTCCAGACCCTTGATCATTTTAGTCGCCCTCCTCTGGACACATTCCAGCTTGTCAATATCTCTCCTCAACTGTGGTGCCCAGAATTAGACAAAATATTACAGGTGTGGTCTAACCAAGGTGGAATAGAGGGGTAGTATTACTTCCCTAGATCTAGACACTATGCTCCTATTGATGCAGGCCAAAATCCCATTGAAATGTTCCTACAAGCTTCAGATAAAAACTGACAGCTGATTCACCAGCTTACTGACCACCAATGAAAAGAGCCCAAACTGAATTTGTCTTCGACATATTCATGGCCCCACCATTCATTTGAAAATACTTACCCAAACTGTGATCCAGTTCCGACAGTGCTATATGTAAACGCTCTTTCATTTTCCCGCACCTTCCGGGAAAACAGGCTAGCCAAGGCAGGAAAATGAACCCCTGGTAAGTTAGAGGGGGAAGAAGACATTCCCATTAGATTAGGTTTGTAGGAGTACTACACAGCTCTGGGGACAAAAGGTAGTAAATTGCAGGCAATGAAAATTCAATTCAGTTCACTGAAATCCAGGCAAACTCTGACCTGTATGAGGCTAACTTTCCCCTTCTTTGGCAGAGATAATTATATTTTACAGGAAGTCTCTATACTGCTATACCTGTTGATGCTGAATAAGTAAACCTTTTCAAATGCAATCTAAATGAAATAATTTTACCTTTTTTAGAGCTACAGTAGGTTTTCTTGGTGACTCCACACTTACAATATCATATAATATAATATCTATAGAAATAAAAATGTAATGTTCGTTTGTGGGATTAACAGAACTCAAAAACCAATGGACGAATTGACACCAAATTTGGACACAAGACACCTAACAACCCAATGTATGTCCTTCACTCAAAAAAATTGATTTTGTCATTTGAGAGTTGTAGTTGCTGGGTAGCTCACCTACAGTAGTTGTAGTTCACCTACAATCAAAGAGCATTCTGAACCCCACCAACATTGGAATTGAACCAAACTTGGCGCACAGTTCTCCCATGACAACAGAAAATACTGGAAGGGTTTGGTGGGCAGTGTCCTTTGGTTTTGGAGTTGTAGTTCACCTACATCCAGAGATCACTGTGGACTCAAACAATGATGGATCTGGACCAAACTCTACATGAATACTCAATATGCCCAAATGTGAACACTGGTGGAGTTTGGGGAAAATAGAATCTTGACATTTGGGAGTTGTAGTTGCTGGGATTTATAGTTCACCTACAATCACAGAAAACATTCTGAACCCCACCAACGATAGAATTGGGCCAAACCTCCCACACAGAACCCCCATGTGGGCCACAGCAACGTGTGGCAGGGGACAGCTAGTAATATAATATAATAAAACCCTTTAGTTAAAAATGAAAAGTCTCCATGACTGTTGGGGTTCAGACTGAGTTTGAACTTGAACCTGATTCTCTGTTTGTTCCTCCTGATGCTAATGAAAATATATTTACTGATGCTAATGGAAATGTACCTTTTGATGCTCCTGAAATTAGTGAGGAAGAAACTGCTGTAGGTTTGGAAAATGCCAATGTTCCTGAAATTAGTGAGGAAGGAACTTCTGTAGATTTGGAAAATGAAAGTACCAGTGTTCCTGAGAATGTTTCAGAGGGAAGCCTTGAACTTTTCCTCCCTTCTGCACCTGTTAACTGTAATGACAACAGAAGGGGCCAAATTTGGCAAGATAGAAATAAATCACTCAGCTTGCGTCGATCCTCCCGAATTCAAGAATTAAAAACATTGGCTTCAAAGAAGAGGGGCGGTTCACGGAATCAATTCTTGGGTTTTAATTGCCTTCCGCCGGGCTGACTGTCTCAGTTCAGGCATCGTTTCAGAATTGATGAAGACCTTGGCAGCTCTCCCGGTTCCCTGGCCATAGCTTGGGAAGATTTCTAGGATATCAAGTACGGTTAGTGAATCACTAAACAGGTTCCAGTATTTTGCAGTGTGGCTTTGGGTTTTGTTCTTGTGCATTTAAATTCATGTTTGCTGATTTTGCTGTGGCTTTTGACTTGCATTTTTCCTTTATTTTGTAACCATTTTTCTTCAATAAAAAAGGATTGTTTTTCACAGTCAAGTGTGGTGGATAGTTATCTTAGGGCCTCGTTCCCTGCTCTGGATTGCAACAATGACTACAAACTAATTAGTGCTTCTTCATACTCCAGTCCCAATATCTGGGTAAACAAAACTTTGACAAGCAGATCACCTTACCTTGAAACAGCCCCATGAAGAACCGGGAGAAGGTCATAAGGACCAGGTGAGCAGAGCCAACATAGATGAAAAGAGGGGTGATGGCAGTAATGCACCCCCAGGCTGTTGCAGAAAGGAGGAGAACTTTCTCTCCTCCTATCCTAGAAGATAGAAGAGAATCAGGTTACTTTCCACAAAGTTGTTCCCTACACTCCTAAGTCAATGTTTTAATGCAAGGATCAATGCTGCCCCCCCCCCCCATTTAAATAGGACTGGGATGTTGCCCATGACTTGTGCAAGCCACGAATGTACACTACCACATACCTCCTTCTACAAGAGAAAAGACTAATTCTTTTACAAACTTGCATTCCTGTAGTGGCCAGTGTTCGAAATACGATGGACCAAAAATGCCGGCACATTTTAATGTTCAGTTCTTACCATCAAGAACCAAGCATAAGGAGATGGGCCAGGCTGAGTTAAACTGCCAGCTGCAAAAAAATCTTGCCAATCAAAAGGTCGACAGTTCAAGCCCGGTCTGGGGTGAGCTTCCAATTGTCAGCCCAGCTTCTGCTCACCTAGCAGTTCGAAAACAGTAATGTGAGTAGATAAATAGGTATTGCTTTGGCGAGGAGGTAATAAAAGGCACCCATGTGGACATGCTGACAATTCGATCTGGAGAGCATCTACAAACAACAAAGGTCCTCGGCATGGAAAATGGAGCAACAGCACCTCCCATGGCTGGAGTTTAGCGCAGCCTCCAGATGCCAGAAATGGAAAAAGATGGGAAGCCTTTACCTCTGTTTATTTGGTGTCTGCCTATGTTAATTATATAATCAGCATAGAATGTTTGCTGTATATGTGTACTGTAATCCGCCCTGAATCCCCTCGTGGAGATAGGGCAGAATATGAATAAAGTATATTATTATTATTATTATTATTATTATTATTATTATTATTATTATTATGTGTTTCTATATTTTAGAAACATGAGAGGAGATTCCATTCTTCCCCATAGTATCATGAGGAAGGGTGTAAGGATTGCAGATTATATTTTAATAATTTTGTGCATGGAAAAAGGTTTGTGTACATTGAACCATCAAAAAGCATTGGTTTCATTGTTTCAGCCAACCATGTGGACCACTTTGGAGAGTTTAGGATTTCAGATTTCTGGAGAAGGGATACTCAACCTGCATTCGTTCTATTTCTAGTGTGGTCACAATGCAAATAAATACAAAATGGCCCATACCTATCACTCAGGTGTCCTCCAATGATCTGAGTCACACAGTAGCCCCAGAAAAAGCTGCTCAGGACAATGCCAGATTGTTTCTTGTCCCAGCCAAAGTGGGCACTCATGGCCACTACACAGATGGGCATCGTGACCCGTGTGCAGTAGAGCAAGCAGGTTCCAAGCAGAAGCGTCAAGGTCCATATTCGAGATTCGGGCCTGCAGAAGATGGGAGATGATGTTGTTTTCAACATTTTAATAGAAAAGAGGTATAACAAGAATTCATCAGAGCATAACAAGTATTCTGAGCCAGGCAGCGAAATAAATGGTAGTTTCCCAGCACATATTTGCCATAGCACATGTCCAGGAATCGAAACAGATGCAAATGAATGCATTGAGAGAATTTCAGCCTTTTCTGTATTCTTTGTAATAGAAATCAAGTTCCTAGCCTTTGTCATGGTTCACACCCACGAGGAGCTGAAAAAAGGATTACTTCTTCCAGGGTCTGTATTAGGCTTTCATAGAGAGCAAAAACAGATGCAGCCAGAGACCAAAGAAGCCACAACTTCAGACAGAAAGAACAACAACCCCAAGTGGACAGTGGAAGTCTTACCCCTCCTCTGAGCTTGCAGCAAGAGCAGGATCGGGACCTTGAGTTGGAAGACCAAGGGTTAATTATTTCAGACCAGCTACAATTAAGGACAGATGGTATTCAAGTGCAGAGATCTAGTCATTTGGCTGCAAAGAGAGCCAGCAGGTTGGAGCACTTGAGAGACCTGCATAAATAGCTGGTTTGGATACTTAGCTAAGGATCAGGCCCATAGCCAGGATTTCGATTCGGGGGGGGGGGGCGCTGAGTTTTTTGGGGGGTTTCGGGGGGGGGGGGGGAGTCTGAGTGAAAGAGGGTCTACCCTAGCAAACCTTTTGTATCATTACCCCAATACCCCCATGCATATGGGATATATTGATTATGGTGATCAGATCATGATATGAATAAACATATTCTCGGTGGTGGCTCCTCAGCTGTGGAACACCCTTCCCGTGGACATCAGGCTAGCCCCCTCCCTGCTAATATTCCGCAGGAAGTTAAAGACCTGGCTATTTAAGAAGGCATTTGATTAATAAGTGCAATGACTGGCAATTGACCATAGGAATGGAACAGCGGAAATGATATCGGATTGTGGCTTGACGATGAGACGATTCGGAATGTAGTAGTAATTTTGTAGTAATGTTGTTGTCTGATAAGATGTTTTTATGATTATGACGAATTGTACACTGTTTTGCACTATGCTTTGTAGATTGCACTTGTTTTTCTTCATGTTGTACACCGCAATGAGTCGCCCTTGGGGCTGAGAATTGCGGTATATAAGCGCAATAAATAAATAAATAAATAAATAAATAAATAAATAAATAAATTAAACAAACAAACAGTTTAAATAATGCACCAGTAAAGCCTTTTTGCGAACCACCATGAGAATTTCGGGGGGGGGGGGCGAAGCCCCTCAACCCCCCCCCCCCCCCCCGGCTACATGCCTGCTAAGGATAGTAACATTGGTTTTTGGAGCCATAGCCTTAGCATCGTGGTTTTTGGAGCCATAGCCTTAGCATCGTGTCTTGTGCCTTGAATCCTTAAAAGAGGGACTGGACCTGGGATGTTGGATTGTGGAATATCCCTGGAAACTGTGTTGGTGAGATAACTTGGCTTTGGAATATTGTAAAGGACAAACGTCTTATCCTCGTGTCTCCTCCTGTCCAGTTTTGCCCCAATAATAGCCTTAAAACCAAGTTTAAAGGAACTCAAAAACCTTGACTCCAGCAAAGTTTAAAGTAGCAAACTCACATTAACAAAAGCAATTACACAAAAGGCAAGTTCACAAATCAAGGCAAAAGTCTCTTGGCTGAGCAAAGTAAAGTCTTTGGTAATTTCTTCTCCAAGCAACAAACAGTTACAAACACAAGGTTTCTGGCTGGTACAGATACAGGATCAAGGTTAGATGGATCGGTTGCTGCCAACGATGGCTATTTCCTCTGTTCCAGCACATGTGTCTCCAGGGAGTGTTCTGATTGCTGCGAGTCTTTTCACCAATCCTGGCTGACCTACACCTTGCTTGTTGCTGCCTTCGGCATTCATGAAAAGTAGGAAGGACCAGTGTGCCTCCCTCACCTTCTTCTTTCTCCCAAGCAGGCCTGAGCATCTGTCCAGAATCCCCAGCCCATTCCTCTTCAACCTTCACCTCTTCAAACTCCTCCTCAGAGGCAGAAGAGGAAGACATAACACCTCCTTGCTTGATTGATTGATTATTGTGTTGACTTCAGACTAACCCTGGACTAACCCTGGACTGCTTCCTTGGAGACTAGGATGCGGAACAATGGCTTCAAACTACAAGAGAGGAGATTCCATCTGAACATGAGGAAGAACTTCCTGACTGTGAGAGCCATTCAGCAGTGGAACTCTCTGCCCTGGAGTGTGGTGGAGGCTCCTTCTTTGGAAGCTTTTAAACAGAGGCTAGATGGCCATCTGTCAGGGGTGATTTGAATGCAATATTCCTGCTTCTTGGCAGGGGGTTGGACTGGATGGCCCATGAGGTCTCTTCCAACTCTTTGATTCTATGATTCTATGATTCTATGTTTGTGTGCTCAGCTTTTTTACAGAGAGGAACCAGCTGGATTCTAACAACCCTTAATATTCCACAATGCAGTTGGGATGGAAACTGGAGGGAGCAAGAACTATTTTTCATTCACACTGAGAGTGGGTTGCTCCAACATACATGACACAAAGGCAAAGCATAAAGTCATAGAGCTGGAATAGACCCCAAGAGCCATCCAGTTGAACCTCATATCCACACTACACAGTGTTAGCAGTTTGATATCACCAACGTCATGACTCCATTTTATGGAATTCTAGGATTTATTTATTTATCGTGTCAGGAGCGAATCAAACCAGTTGTATTGCATTAAAAAACAAACAGACAAACAAACAAACAAACAAAACACAAAATTTGCAGACTTGGTATTCTATTAAATGTCCTTTGACCAGTATCTGGCCACTTGGAGTGCCTCTGGTGTTGCTGCAAGAAGGTCCTCCATTGTGCATGTGGCAGGGCTCAGGCTGCATTGCAGCAGGTGGTCTGTGGTTTGCTCTTCTCCACACTCGACACTCCACACTCCACATTCTAGGATGTGTAGCTTGATAAGATTGGGTTAAAATTCTCTGCTTAAGACCAAAACATTTCAATTCCTGGGAGAACTTCACAGCCGACCATCAGAATATTCTAAATATTGACCTCAATTATATTGTTTTCCCCAACTACAATAGATCCCCTAGTTTTGTAGGAGTTGGGGGTGCAAGATCAGCATGAAAGAGGGTAAAATGTGAATATCGCCACCTCCCAAAATTGTATTTGACGTTAAACTGCAAGGTTTCTCTACCTGGTATCCTCGGCTAAAAAGTGACCAATATCGTCAACAATATCTTCAAGACCTAACGTCAGCGGTCCTGAGGAAAGCATTTACAGCCCTGCGATTCCAAACAATGCCATCAAACTGGCTAGAGGGAAGATACAGAGGGATCCCCCATGCCCAACGACTCTGCATTTGTGGCACAGGGGAAATAGAAGACCTAACACACTATTTGCTACACTGCCCCTTGTACAATGACCCTAGGAAAAATCTCCTAGGATCACTCTTGGAAGAAAGGGCATCATGGCAACAATCTGCGGTGATCTGCGACTTGCTAGCAGATCATTCTAAAAATATAACACTAAAGGTTGCCACATTCGCAATCGCAGCCAAAAGATCAGAGCCAAAGTAGCAAAATCCATACTGGGGGTCAGAAATGGAAACGGTTTGGAATGACACAAAGCAGACACTGTTATTGTCATGTTTCTGCTTTCATAATTTTAAAGAACTTGTTTTAGTTTTAATTCTTGTTACGTTTTAAGGTTTATATTGGAAAGTGTTTATAAAGTTAGTATTTTACTGATGTCATGGCCTATGGCTAGTACAATAAACAATTCATTCATTCCTCTTTTTTATGCTTTTTTATGCGTATTTGACGTTTTAAAAGCACAGCCGGGCCCAGACACTCTCCCAGTTTGACTTCTTCCCAATGACACCAATATTACCAAAGTCCCTGTTAAAAATGCCATCGGACAGCAGCGGATGCAGCGGCAAATATAGCAACCCATAAATAATCAAATCCACAAGTATTTAACCTGCAAATGTAGAGGCATTGACTGTAAAGTAGTACTATTCAATCAACTAGAATTACATACATGTTGACTTACCATTCCACAATTGACGGAATGCGTTTGCTCCAACTGGAATTAACGGATAGGTTCTAGCCATTGTTATCAAACTCTAGATCCTGTGGCGCACAGCAATGGCAGTTAAAGTGGTATTAAACTTATATAATTGTGACATACAGACACACACACATCCTACAATTATTTCATAGCAGTGGCAGAAACTTTGTAGGTTACAGCTCGGTTTCTTGGCCACTGCTCTATATCAGCACTTAAAACTGTTCTTAAGCTGAGCGGCTGTCATCTTTAGCCAATTCCTTTGTACAGGTTGAACACCATCCAATTCAGATCTCCTAATGCAAATAATGCAGGTATCTTTAGAGCCTCACCAGGTCCAACAAGTCTTTCTCATTCTGCCTTTGTTCCTCACATTGCCACAGGCTCTCCAGTGATCTGCCACTCACCTGTCATATTGAACTGTGTTGGCATGAATGGGCACAGAAGCAGAAGATTATGCACCCGTGACAATCGCTTGGCTCAGTTCCCGGGTCCTTTCATGAAACCAGGGAAGAAAGCTCCCTTAATCTTCCACAAACACTGTTCTTGGCAAGCTAAAGACTCTCCTTTTTGAAAACCAAGAAACGGGAGTCAGGAGTGGCAGAATTCTCTGCCAACAAGTAGACAGAAATGATTTTTCAACTAGAACATCTATCACGATAGATTTATTTTCTTTAGAAGATACAAATTTCTCTAAAAGCCTGTGTCCCTTTGTTGACTGAAGTATCAAGCCTGGATAAAAACCTCCCGACAATCTCTGTTTCATTGTTGCATTGTTGCTTTGATTATACAGAATGTGTTTTGATTATACAGAATTTTAAGTATATTGACCTATATGCCATTTAGTTTATGTGGTATCTTTTTACTGTTATGCTTCTATATTATATTATATTATATTATTGCAAATTGCTCATGATT